AAAAAATACGGTTAATTCGGGTCTAAATAGTAAAACTCAATGGTCGTATGGTAGTATGAACGCAAGGGTATAACGTACTCCTGGCGCACGCTAGCTTGAACTATATATGTGTGTGTGTGGTTTAGGTTGGCGTACACTAAATATTAGTGTTTTGGTTGACAAATTTTGACATAAGTTCTAAATGGGACGTGACAGCGGCATAATTTATGATTCGAAAACCGAAGCATCACAAGTGAGTGTGCTAAATATTGGAAGTTTCAATATAAACATACTACAAACTCGGTTACAAAATATTTAGAAGATCCAAAATGATTTTAACATATAAATTATAAAATAAATCTCTCCGGCCAACGGGCCGGGTAAAAGGCTAGTTAGAGTTAAGGGAGGTGTATAAAGTTTAATTAATTGGGTTTTAATTGTGAACAGGTGAGTAATTAATGAATGACTGAGGTGAGGTCGGTCACGTGACCCTCCACAATTCTGATTGGAGCCCAAACCCCCAAAAATAACATTGGTTAAAGGGCACTGACAAATGGGCACATGTGCCCCTCACAAGGGTAAACAAAATATCAAAGCTTAGCTTTATCCACTACCCTTTCTTCATAATCTTATTCATGGTCCAGAGAATATAATAATAATTATAAAAAAGTGCAGCGGCCCCAAATCAACGGTGGAGCTTCTCTGGTGCGTTGCAATGGTTTCGCTTGGATTGGAGGGTTTGTGAAAAGGTAGTAATTGGCCATCCCATCCCATGGCGGAAGTTCCCATCCATGGCGCTGCACTTGGGTAGCCTTGGTTCGACGCCGATCAGCCAGCTCCGGCGAAGCGTCTAAGCATCAAGGAACACATAGGTAGCCGGGGGTGGAGCCCGGCCGGCCTTTATTTGCTCTTCGAGGAGACTAAATGGACTCTCAACACAGTGCATTCCTCATTTTGGTCATAAGTATTTGGGTCTCTCTACAACCAGGGCCGTTCAATGGATAGCGCATGTCCTGTTCCAAAATTGAGATGTGATCCAAATTGAATTTTAATCATAATAAAATTAAAATAAATATATAATAATTTGAAATGTAATATCTTTCTAACATTGTTTAAAATAAAATTATCTAGTATGTTTCTAATTTTCATATTCTCCATGGGATAATTTCGATTGTTATCACAACTATTCCATTAAAATTTTCTTGTATTTTTATAATATAAATAAGATTTTCAAAACAAAAACAATACTTTAACAATCCATGTAAGTGTCTATTATATATACATGATGAATATTAACCAATGACTAACACTAATATTAATTAATATAATTAAACTCATTATTATACTCATAGTCAATTAATTATACACTACAAATACAACATACAATGTACGATCGGGTTAACTATCATATTCAAATGGAGGCCCTGTGTCAGAGGGCCGCCTGACGCACCCTCTTGGCCGGCCCTGTGTACAACTATACTTAATTACCTGAATCGAAAGGAACCAACATGCTTAGTTACATACTTTGATTATGTATTTGTGTTTCTTGACCGTACATAATACGAAGCTAAGTGTGCAAGGGATTTGGCTAATACAATATGTGATTCATCCTTCTTCCAAGTAATATGATTATGTCACTTGACAGCGTAGTTTGCGATTATATGGTTATATCTCGGATGAATAGATACCATGGGTGTATAAACTATTTTGAAATACTACCATAGATCAAGAAATATATTGACTTTGTGAAATATTAATGACTATTTAGAAGGATGAATTCAGTCTAGGTATAAATGATGAAGAGGCCCAGATGCATGATCCCTTACAGCGAAATTAGAGTAGCCCGAATTTGTTAATTCTTTTTCAATTGGGTTGACAATGGTTTATTTGTTATTACTAGGCACAACTCGTATATTTGAGGCCCATAAAAAACCGTGCTAGGCGGCAAAGGAAGTTCTTCTTAAGGCGGAAGTTCTTCTTAAGGCTCACTGGGTGTCATGGCGAAATTTGTGCAGGAGTAAATTTAATGGTGGTCTGGGTTTCCGTCGGTTTGAAAATTTTAATCAAGTGCTTTTGGCAAAGGTTGCTTGGAGAATCTGGAAGGAATCGGAGTCGCTGCTTGCTAGAGTGTTGAAGGGCAAGTATTTTCCACAGGCTTCTATTCTTACCGCGAATCGCCACTCCAGACCCTCTTGGGGGTGGACTAATATCGTCCATGGGAGGGATTTGATGCTCAAGGGACTTGGTTGGCAGATTGGGGAGGGATCTCAGGTTAGGATCTTGGATGATAACTGGATTCCGGGCATTTGGCCGGATGAGCTTGAGATTAGTGTTTCGGCGCCTAACTTATCAGGGATGATGGTAAATTCGTTGCTCATTCCCGGTAAGGGTGTATGGTGTATAGATTGCCTTAACCAGTGCTTCCTAAGGAGGGTGGTGCGGGCTATTCAGGCCATTCCGTTGCCAAAAGGGGAGGTGGGGGACAAACAAGTTTGGACATGCGAGGGAGATGGAGAGTACACTGTGAAATCTGGACATCACCTAGCTTTCCAGTGTGATAAGAGATTACAGAATTGGAAGACCTAGGTCCCTTCTTTGATATGGCTTTCTGGAAAATGATGTGGGGGTTTCCCATTCCTCCGAAGTTGAAATATTTTTTGTGGAAGGTTATGAAACGAGTCCTTCCGACCATGGAAGCTATAGTTGAGAAGAGTGGTGGAGTGCCAGGTGATGTGGGAACGAATCCTGATGATGATTCCTCTATCTCCCCTAAATGTTCGGTGTGTTGGGCGCCCTTGGAGTCTCTGGAGCACATGTTTCTGTCTTGTCGGGTGGCGACAGAGTTGTGGGATAGGTCGGGCTTGGATGTTGGGCAGGTGGTGCAGCCTCCTCCGAATTTTGCCTTGTTTCTTCGGCGATTTCTTGAGCAGGATGCCATAGTAGAGAGGGTGGTCAGGTTTGTAGCACTTTTATGGAGGATATGGAAGAGTTGGAATTGGGTGGTCTTTGATCATATCCAGTATGGTGTGGATACACTAGTGAGACAGTATTAAGAACAGGTTCGTGAATGGTTGGCGCTGGTCGAGGCCGGTTCTGGGCGTCCAGGGCACGGGTAGCAGCTCCATGTGCCGATGGGTGGGTCTCGGGGGAAGCAGGTTCATGCTCCCTTCCCATTTCGATGTTATGTTGATGGTGCTGTCTCCTCTGGTTCATATGGTGCTGGGGGGTTGGTGGTTTGTGACGGGTTGGGGAATGTTTGTCTTGTGCAAGGTTTTCATTATGCAGGGCTGGTAGGTCCATTTTTGGTGGAATTGGTGGTGTTTCGTGATGCGATTCAGTGGTGCTCTTTGAAGGGTCTGGCTGAAGTGCAATTCTATGGGGGTGCGATGGTCGTCATCGAGAAAATTCAAAAGATGGATGTACGAGATGTGAAGGAAGGACGAATTCTTGAGGAAATTTTGAAGATCCGGCAGCAGTACCGGTGTTTTGAGATGGCCTTTGTTGGCAGGAGTAACAATCGGGTGGCCCATGAGGTGGCTAGGAAGACCCTTTCTTTGTTGCCTGCGGTTGTAGATAATTTTGATTTTGCAAGATGGTTTGTACTTGGGTTGTAAATTTTGCTAGCTTTTTGCCTTGGTAATACAAATGATCTATTGGTAAAAAAAACTCGTATATTTGAGGTCATTGACAAATTGGTAAGAACTCAGAGTTGTATTTGGAAATTGTACTAAAAAGGTGCATAATAAATCTAATATACCCTTATTTGGAAATGAAACCCTGTTGGACTATGAACTCTCGTAAGGATTATAACGAAAACTGCGCCTTCAGAGATTTCTTCTTCTTCTTCAAATGTAGGTAGTATAACCCTTATAGATTGATGAATATAGGTACCATAATCCTAACGTAACATGAGTTAGCGTGACACACGATAGTTTGAGCTTTGACTCAGTTAACGTACTAGTTTCAACATCTTGTTGTATAAGTAAGAGAACTTCGTTCTAAGAGGAGGATGTAGAGGATGTTGAAAAACGAGGCTTCCTTGAAGGGTGCCCCTTGGTTGCATGGTGAACAGTACATTAAGAAGTTGTCGTTTAGAGATAGTTAATTGTTAATCCAATCATATCACCTGCATCGAAGTTCATAGCTTTCATAACGATTTTCAGACAATCCAATCCACGGAATCATATGCTTGTTGCATTTCAAGGTATAACACCCTGTTGCAATTTTCCCTTCAACAACTTAGATAAAATCGAGATAAAACCTTATGAACAAATTTAATGAATAACTCGACACATCTACTTCTCAAAAGCATAAGAATCCACTCAATTTAGATGTGAATGATAACCTTAGATGACTTATATTTTAATAAAGTTGCAACAACTAACAATTGAAATTGAGTAATAAACTATCACAATTCTTTGGTTAGTGCATGGAATAAAAAGGATCCAATCCATAAGGATTAAGGAAAATGGAAATTGACAAAAAAGAAAAGGATTATTATTAAATCGGGAAAATAAAACCCTAAGACCCCTCTCGTTAGGACGAATACTCCGTGGAACCAATCTGGCCGTCCATTAAATGATCCAACGGTGACTATCAGCCCACGCTTGTGCTTATCACTCATCATCTGTCTGCACTTCAGTCTCCTCTCCTTTCCCCTTTCTTTTTGTTCCCCTCTCTCGCAACGAGAAACCATGGCTGAAGCCTCCTTGATTTCCGATCATCTCCAACACTCCTAGCAGTCGACCTGATCCCCTTCTTCATAACAAAACCCTACACTTCTCGTCAAGAAATCCCAGTCGTTTAACTCCCAACAAGACACAAACTTTTTTGGTGATTTTCGTATCTATTTTGTCAATTTTTTTTCCTCCAAGCCTTCAATTCACTCGAGTTTCCAGAGTTCCCTGTTCTCCGATCAGGAAGGCCGTTTGTTTTTTCGGGCGTAAGACGGAGAACCCAGTTCGGTTCGGTTGCTTTGTAGCTGAATTTGTACCCAAAAGTCTCAATCTTTATAGCATCGTATGAGTCCACAATCTCTGATGGTCTCAGATACGTATCCAAACATTCTTCCCGACATCTCTATGCGATCAGTCCTAAAACATGAGGATTTGGGCAAGTTGATTAGGGAACAGCGGCTTCAACAATCGGCGGCGAGCGACAGGGAAGATGAACTCAACATTTACCGGAGTGGGTCTGCGCCTCCGACAGTTGAAGGCTCTCTGAGCTCAATCGGAGGGCTTTTGAGGAAGAATGGGGCAGGTGGGTTTTTGAGTGAAGAGGAGTTGAGGTCTGATCCAGCTTACGTTAAGTACTACTATTCTAATGCTAACGTGAATCCAAGGCTGCCGCCTCCTCTGCTGTCAAAGGAGGACTGGAGATTCGCTCAGAGGATTCACGGTGGTACTCCGGCCAATTCGGTGGTGGGTGATAGAAGGAAAGTTGGTAGAGGCGGTGATAATGAAGGGAACATGTCACTCTTTGCGATGCAGCCAGGGTTTGGAGGAGGCAAGGAAGAGAACGGGAATGGAAATGGCGGTGGAGTTGAGTGGGGAGTAGATGGCCTTATTGGTTTGCCAGGGTTGGGCGTTGGAAGTAGGCAAAAGAGCATTGCTGAGATGATTCAGGTGATTCTTTTTTTACTTCTAAGTTCTTAACTGGGTGAAATGTATTTATTAGAATCTCGGTGGTTTTTTGCCTATGGTAGTAAGTCACTGGTTAGAATATGTTCTTTAGTTGTAGTAATGGCTCTGCGTAGCTGTGCTTTCGGTTTGGGGTGGTTCATTATGATGATGCTTGTTTGGGAAAAGTTCTTGTGGTGGTATGTTGTCGTTCTGGCTTTCTGTTGGTTGTTTTGTCACAAAACATCTGACATTTGAGTTATATTCTTTGACTGTGTTGGTTATATGCTCCAAGTCGCTTGTTGGTAGTTTGCTCGGGATTTAAAATAATATATATGGTCACTCTTGTTTGATTACCTATTTTGGGAACTTCTTTGTGGTTTCCCTATTACCCAGTTAGTTTTCCAATTGGCTAGGTTGTGCCATGATATTGTGACTGTATGTTTCTGCTCTGACTCTTTGTTGGTGTATTGTCATTAATCATTTGAGTCCAAATTCTTCTGGGTGCTGGTTATAGGTTCCAAGTCACTCGTCATATATTTTTCTTTCGGATAAAACATTAGTGCACATTCTTGTATGAATACTTCAAATTTAAACTTCTTGATGGCTTCAGTATTACCCAATTACTTTGCCTATTGGACATGAACATTATTAAGAGTATGCTGTATGCGTGATCCTGCTGATGCAGTGTGTGAGTGATCTATGACCTAACTCCCGACGGGAGGATCCTTCACTTGATTTTTAAAGAAGTCTTACCTACTCAAAATATGGAACCAATCCATGCAATTCAGATCTTCTTCTGCAATTAAATGTGTAATTAATGTTCCTTGTTTATTAGGCTGCCGTTAATGTTCTTATCTAGGTATGGGGATCATCGTTCTTGTCGTATCTTCATTTGTCACATACTGCTTTTGTTTTATGCGAATAAACTCGCAGTCTCTGTATGTTGAGTTATTGAAAACTTTGAATGCAGGACACTTCAATTGTTCTGTTGTTAATAAGAATTCCAATAACGGTTTTGCTATGTTTTTGCTATTGGATTCATATCCATTGGCCTGTCTGTTGGCTATATATGTATTGTTTCATGAGCCGGTCCCAGTATACCTTTGCTTGCTGCTTTGCTAATAGCATATCATTGCCAAATGCAGGATGACTTGGGTCACTCAAACCCTGTTTCAAGGCATCCATCACGTCCTGCTAGCCGTAACACATTTGATGATGATGTGGAAGCCTCTGAATCACACTTCTCGCAACTTCATGGCATGACATCTCTTGATTCTTTGCTGTCTAGCCCCAACCAACATGGCTTGCCAGCTGTAGGATCTTCATCTTCCCAGACTTATGCTTCAGCTCTAGGTGCCTCCTTGTCACGAAGCACAACACCTGACCCCCAGCTGATAGCCAGGGCCCCCAGTCCCCGCATTCCACCTATTGGAGGAGGCAGGGTCAATTCTTTTGATAAAAGAGATATGGGTGGTTCAAACTCATTTAATGGTGTCACGTCAAGCTTGGGCGAACCTGCTGACCTGGTAGCTGCTTTTTCTGGGCTGAATATGTCAAATGGTATGGCCACTGAGTTACAACGGCCGAGATCACAGACCTCCCAACGCGAGATTGGTGATCACCATGACTTCTTCAATTTGCATGGGGACCAAAAGCATAGCAAGCAACAGTCGTATCTGAACAAGCCCATGGTATCTGGTAACTCATACCTTAAAGGACCATCCACTCCACCTCTAAATGGCAGGGGAAGCTCTCCTAATCACCGAAGCATGGATAACTTGAACTCCCCTTTTGCAAGCTATGGTGCAAGTGGGTATCCTGGAAGTCCTTCGTCTCCATCTATGATGGGAGGTCAGCTAGGTAATGGGACATTGCCACCTTTATTTGAGAATGCTGCTGCTTCTGCTATGGGAGGACTTGGATTAGATTCCAGAGCATTGGGTGCTTTAGGACCTAATCTATTGGCTGCTGCAGCAGAACTACAGAACCTTGGTAGAGTTGGGAATCAGGGTGCTGGGAATTCCCTTCAAATGCCTCATGTGGACCCGTTGTATCTACAGTATCTGAGATCAAACGAGTATGCTGCTGCACAGATGGCTTCCCAGAGTGAATCAACTATGGACAGGGAGTACCTGGGTAATTCATATATGGATCTGCTTCAAAAAGCTTATCTCGGGGCTCTGCTTACTTCTCAAAAATCACAATATGGTGCTCCATATCTTGGCAAATCTGGTAGCTTGAATCACAATTACTATGGAAATCCATCATATGGGCATGGCATGTCCTATCCCGGAAGCCCACTAGGTGGAGGGCTTCTTCCAAACTCTCCAATTGGGTCAGGCAGCCCTGGCAGACATGGTGATAGGTCTTTGCGTTTTCCATCTGGAATGAGGAATCTGAGTGGAGGTGTTATGGGATCTTGGCATTCAGAAGCTGGTGGTAACTTTAATGAAGGTTTCCCATCCTCTCTACTAGATGAGTTCAAAAGCAACAAGACGAAGTGCTTTGAGCTCTCTGAAATTGATGGTCATGTTGTTGAATTCAGGTGTGTAAATATGCATTGAATTTGTGGATGTGGCTCTCCTTTTTTTTTTTTTTGTAATGTCAGACACTGAGAAGTTTATGAATGTGTAAAACAGTGCTGATCAGTATGGGAGTCGATTCATCCAACAAAAACTTGAGACTGCTACAACAGATGAAAGAGACATGGTCTTCAATGAGATCATGCCCCAAGCCCTTTCCTTAATGACTGATGTGTTTGGTAACTATGTAATTCAGAAGGTATTTAGTTAGTCCACTGAGCTACCTGAGATACGATTGTTGATTTCTTAATCATTGCTGCTTGTTTGTTTCTCCAAAGATCACATAATTACATTCTATGTAAAATTCCGTCTAAGTGATACTTCTGTTTTGCTTCAGTTTTTTGAGCACGGATCTGCTCCTCAAGTTAGAGAACTGGCTGAGCAGCTGACTGGTCACGTTCTGACCCTTAGCCTTCAAATGTATGGCTGTCGAGTGATCCAAAAGGTATGTTAAAAACGTGATCATATATCTGTTTGCCATGTTCTTCTCTCTGAACACAGAGGTGTCTTATTTCTGCATGGTCCTAATATGGAAATAGTTGTACCATAGAGACAAAGTTCACGAACTTTCAGCTGAGGTTCTTGTATTGAAGTTGAGTTTCTGGAGAAAAAAAAAAAAAAATACTGGTGTCGGTATATAGCTATGATATTCTCTTAAGTCTGGATGAAAGAAAATGGAAAGGGTATTTTTAAAAAGAGAATGTAAAGGTGAAGAGGGAAAGGAGATTAATAATTTGCTTATGCTAACTTTACTGAAAGGCCTGCATTGTCTCTTTAAGTGTCAGAGTACTCTGAGAGTGCATTGTCTCTTATTTAAGCATTTTCATTTTCATTTTTACTTTTTCTTTGTTCTCCCACGGTCTCTTCTTTCAAACTAAGCTAAGATAATGTTTGGCCTTCCATAAACTTCATGTCTTCTCTGTCTATTTTTATTTTTATTTTCCAGTTACTCTGAGAGTGTACTGAAAGATAGTATAGCACGCTTGATAGCTTCCATTCTTGTTCCAGGCTATCGAAGTAGTTGAGCTGGATCAGCAAACCCAAATGGTGAAAGAGCTTGATGGTCATATCATGCGATGTGTTCGTGATCAGAATGGCAATCATGTCATCCAAAAGTGTATTGAATGTGTGCCTGAAGATGCCATACAGTTCATTGTTACAACATTTTATGACCAAGTTGTTACACTATCCACTCATCCATATGGTTGCCGTGTGATACAGGTTTGTGTACTATGTTTTACTGGTCTGTCTATGTGCGATGGTTGATTCATTTGTGAAAATAAGATACTTGCATCGTAGACTACAGCATGAAGAAGTGTATCACAGGCTCACAAGCCTTTGATTTCAGATACTCTGTCTATCATTGCGGAATATAAAGGAATGACTGCATGTCAACATCTATCTTGGCTTTTCTGTTGGCTAAAATAATTGTTCCCACTTGACATAAATATATTTTGCAGAGAGTTCTGGAACATTGTAATGACCCAAAAACCCAACAAATAATGATGGATGAGGTCTTTCGATCTGTTTGCATGTTGGCGCAAGACCAGTATGGGAATTATGTCGTTCAGGTTTGCTGTCCTGTCCTTGTATTGATCCATCTAAGTTACTTATCCTTTTGTTGTAATCATCACATCTTATATCTTTTCAGAGAAAAAACAAAGGTAGCATAATTATTTCGTCGCACCCAGTTACAATTTGTGTTCTTCTTGATTTTGTTGATATCTGTGGCGGTCTTTCTACTTTATGCTTCTGCGGCATGTGAGTATCACATTAGCTTTTGATATCGTAGATGCGCCTATGGCCAGAGGTCTATAAAATGTTAAGAAATTTGGTTGTATAGTTTATGGGTTATGGTAAAATGAAAGTTAACCATTGTAGTTATTCCATGAACGGATCATTGTTTCAAGAGACTGATGTAATGGCTCTTGGTTTATTATAATTCTTGGTTCTCGTTGTAATATAAAACCACCACACGCTTCCAGTTACACTCTCAGTCCTCTTTTATTTCGCTTCGAACTGGCTAGCTTAGTTACTTTTATTTACTGTTTACAGCATGTGCTGGAGCATGGGAAGCCTGATGAACGCTCAGCCATTATAAAGAAATTGACTGGGCAAATTGTTCAGATGAGCCAGCAGAAGTTTGCTTCCAATGTTATAGAGAAGTGTTTGACATTTGGGACACCTGCTGAGCGCCAGGCATTGGTTGATGAGATGCTTGGCACCACTGATGAAAATGAGCCTCTTCAGGTTTGCGAATGAATTTATCTTCTTCCCTTCCCTTGGAGAATCTGAAAGTGTTTAATTTGATCATCCTAGAGCTCTGCAGTAAGTCTGGTTTGTGTCTCACGTGCAGGTTATGATGAAAGATCAGTTTGCAAATTACGTTGTACAGAAAGTGCTTGAAACTTGTGATGACCAACAACTTGAGTCGATCCTCAACCGAATAAAGGTGCACTTGAATGCTTTGAAGAAGTATACTTATGGGAAGCATATAGTGGCACGTGTAGAGAAGCTCGTTGCAGCTGGAGGTACGTTAAAGCACTTGTTTTTGTTACTGCTGTCGGTTTACTATACGCTCTAGTTGAGTGAAACTCGAGGAAGAAATGAGTCTAACGAGAGCGCGGTTCTACTTTCTACAGAGAAGCGTATCAGCATCCTTACTCTGCAACCTGCTGCTGCTTAGATGGCATAGGAGAAGTTGTACAGCTAACTGAGGATAGTATCAAGGCACCTCAATCTTTCGTAGTTTCCGAGTTTTCTGGTTGCTAGTTCCAATGGCCCTGTCCTATTTATGGGGACAGATAGTGTGGCCAGATGCAAATAAACAAATTGTTGGTTGTACTTAAGTAAGAACCCCTGTACATTGTTAGTTGGAGAGTATACCTAGATTCAGGCTTTTCTTAGCATAAGGGCTCAGAATCGCAACACATGCCGATGCTGTTGCGCAGCAATTGCAGAGATGAGATGATAGAAGAGGATGTGATTACCGAGCGAGAAGTCGTCCTCGTCGTCGTTTGAAGGTGTAAAGAAAGGTAAACATGAGATGGTAGAGGATGTAGTGAGCTTGCAGTGTTGATGTTTGACTGTACAAAGGTGTTTGCAGGCAGAGGGACAACCAACAAATCCTTTTCGTATTTAAGGAGAGTCTGGGGGAATTTTCTAATGTAATGGGTCTTTAATCTTTGATATCCTCTTTCCATATCTTGTGTTTTCCTCAAATGGGTTTTATCATGCTCCCTTATTAAGGTTTGGGATAGGGTCAGTAATCACTGGTTACTGACCTATCAGTAAACACATGGAAACCGTAGATCTAGGGGATGGAGGAATCGTGTGGTTGGCTGGACGCAAGAGTGGGGAAGGGCATTTTTGTCTGCTTTTGTATTTTTAATTTTTTTATTTATTCCGCATTTCAATTGCTGACTTTTTAATGAAAGAAAGAAAATCATCTTTTTTCTGCAACTCTATTTTATTCCTTCTCTCTTCCTTCTTTCTTCTTTTTTCCAATATTTTTCTAGATCTTTTCTCTTTTTCTATTCTTTCTCTTTTACTTTTTCTCTCACAATCTCCATTTCTCTGCAACTCTACTTTATTCATTCTCTCTTCCTTTTTTCAATATTTTTCCAGATCTTTTCTCTTTCTCTATTCCATCTTCATTTTTTTCTCTAGCAATCGACGAATAAAAATTGAAGTCACCCTCTTTAATTGCGTTTCTTCTCTTCATCAACTCGTTAGCTTTAATTTCGATTTTTCTCCTTTTTTTGGCGTTTGGTGTTCTTTGGTTGCGGATGAAATGAGATGAGACAGAAGACAAGTTTTTTTCTCTCTTTTTGTTTTCCCCCCTTTCTTTTAGGTAATATATATTGATATTACCACACTATACCATAAGGTATTATGTGGTAACGAAATATATATTGGTATTACCACTCTATACTATATGGTATTGGGTGGTAACGAAATATATATTGATATTAACACACTATACCATATGGTATTGGGTGGTAACGAAATATATATTGGTATTACCACTCTATACCATATGGTATTACCACTCTATACCATATGGTATTGGGTGGTAACGAAATATATATTGATATTACCACACTATACCATATGGTATTGGGTGGTAACGAAATATATATTGATATTACCACACTATACCATATGGTATTGGGTGGTAACGAAATATGTATTGATATTACCACACTATACCATATGGTAGTAACGAAATATATATTCATGTGGCAAAAATTTTCATACCATATTGTATGCTCTTATTTAATACCAATCAATACCATATGGTACAGTCAATACTATATGGTATAACTGGTAATAACTGACAAATTTTTTTTGTGTCCAAAAAATATCAAAGTGGATATCATTTTGAAGAGCACAATTAATCTGATCTAACTGTGCAAAAAAAAATTAAATTTCGACTTAAAACGAGTGAGAAATCGTCCGTTAAAAATTAATGGAAGAAAAATTAAATGTTTTGCAAGGAGAGAGAAGGATGCGCTGATGTGGTACGCTCAAAAGTCAGCCTCAGCAATAAATAGGAGAAAGTGTATTTTTACTGTACTGCCCTTTTCACATTTAATTTAAATAAAAAAGTGACTGACACGTGGGGACCATAGAAGGGGTTACTGATGGGTTACTGACCCGATCTGGACCCCCTTATTAAGTCATAAAGTTCAGACTAGGAAAAATAAGTTTCCTTCTTTCCCTGATTTGTGTTGTTAAGGATGAGAAATTAAGGGGATAATAAGGAAATAAAGGAGTCAAGTAAGCATCTCAGCATATGGTCTTGAACTTGACACAACAAATTCAAAAAATCAATTGACACGACACGAAAAAAACATGTCTAAAATGGGGTGTTGTCGTGCTAATTGAAGCATGTCCTAACATTCTCACATACAAAACATGTGAAATTTCATGCAGCATGGCAAGCGAAATCATCTCTAAATGGGTTGTCTCCCCCATTGCCCATTGGTTCCTCCAAGTTTGAGTGAGTTAATATACGGTAACAACTATTCCCTTGAATTTCCATAGCCACTTTCGAGCTGTTAAATATTTTTTTCTTCTCTCGTACATGTCGTGAATCAAAACCACTAAGCGGTCCATAACTTAATCGCTACCGATCATCCTGCTCCGAGTGGTTTCCTATACGCTCCCATCCAGTGGCGGAGTTAGGTTCAAACGTGAAGGGGCTATACCCTCATCAAATTAAAATATATGTAATTTTTTTATTGGCAATATATATAAATTTTATAACAAATTGAAGGAATAAATTAGTCAGTAAAACTTTAATCTCTCTTTTTCATTACTACATTTCAACTCTTCAATCAAACGTTACTCTCTTTAAGTTGCAATCGTGATTAGTAGGCCCGTATTTCCCTTTCCCATCCACAAACACGGTCCATTCCCTTCTCACACAAACTCAGCCGGACGACTCGGTAAAAACCCGATTCGCTGGAACCGGAAAATAGAAACACCTCCCAAAAAGGCCAAAACCCTAACCCGCCGGTCTGTCCGTTTCACCAAAGCAGTTCCCTTCACTCCCTCCCCATCGGTTCACAATCGACTCGACCTCAACTGAATTAACTCCCTCGACTCGGCACACTCCCCTTTCTCCATCACGGAAAGAAACCAGTAAGTTCTTCTTAAATAACCTTCTGTTGCCCAGTTCCTTATGTATCCCATTGCTTGTTCTTCCGATTCTTTTCCTGCTCAAAGTTTCGATCTTTACCTCCGCTCAAGGGTTTCCCTTCCTCCCTTTTGCCCTCCACTAGATGGGTTCGAATGTGGAAATTGTTCCAATAACGTCACAGAAGCACGACCCGGCATGGAAGCACTGCCAGATGTTTAAGAATGGGGATAAGGTTCACCTTCAATGCCTGTATTGCAGCAAGGTTTTCAAAGGGGGAGGGATTCATAGGATTAAGGAGCATTTAGCTGGTCAAAAGGGTAATGCTTCCACCTGCCTGAGAGTCCCAGCTGAGGTGAAGACTGCAATGCAGCAGAGCTTAGATGGTGTGGTGGTTAAGAAGAAGAAGAAGCAAAAAATTGAGGAAGAGATCGCGAGTGTTAACCGTGTTGATTCTGTTCCTGAGGGTTTTGCTGGTAACTGTCAAAGTGGTGATGATGAGTTTGTTCACTTCTCAAATGTCAATGAGACTAGTTCTAGTGCGTTGGTTGGTGGTACATTGGGCAACGAAGGAGAAGTGAAGAAAAGGAGGATTTCGGGGTCGAGCGTGATTCCTATTGCTACTGCTGGAGTTGATTATTGTACGGCATTAGTTGAGAAGAGGGTGGGTGGTGGGGATGGTGTTCAAATTGCAATAGCAAGGTTTCTGTATGATATTGGGGCACCCTTGAGTGCTGTGAACTCTGATCACTTTCAGCCAATGGTAGATGCAATTGCATCGGGAGGACCTAATGTTGTGCCGCCTTCTTATCATGATATTAGAGGGTGGATACTGAAGGGCTCAGTTGAAGAAGTGAAGAGTGATGTCAACAAGCAGATGGAAACATTGGAAAGGACTGGCTGTTCTGTTTTGGTTGACCAGCGGAACACATCAGATGGTAGGACTCTGTTGAGCTTCCTGGTTTCTTGTCCCGAGAGGGTGGTGTTTGTTAAATCGGTTGATGCATCTGATACTGTGAATTCGCCGGATCGTCTGTATGAGTTGCTTAAGCAAGTGGTTGAAGAAGTTGGTGTACAGCACATTCTCCAAGTAATAACTGGCGTGGAAGATCGATATGTTATTGCTGGGAAGAAGTTATCAGAGACTTTCCCCACGCTGTATTGGTCACCGTGTGCTGCCCATTGTATAGATTTGATACTGAATGACTTTGCTAAGCTGGAATGGATAAATGGCATTATTGAGAAAGCTAGGTCTATTACAAGATTTGTATACAATCATACGGCGGTTGTGAATATGATGAGAAGGTATACCTTTGGAATTGATATTCTGCAACGAGGATTGACCCGTTCTGCAACAAATTTTGTTACGCTGAAGCAAATGGTTGATCTGAAGGACACTTTGCAAGGCATGGTTACTTCATATGAGTGGATTGATTGCCCCTTTTCCAAGCAACCTGGGGGCTTAGAAATGCTGGATCTTGTTAGTGATCAATCTTTTTGGTCTTCCTGCACCCGGATAGTCTGTCTAACACAACCCTTGTTAAGAGTTTTGAGAATAATTTGTGATAGGAAGCGGCCTCCTATGGGGTACGTCTATGCAGGGATGTACCGTGTGAAGGAAGAAATCAAGAAAGAGTTCTTGAAGAGGGAAGACTATGTGGTATACTGGAACATTATAGATCAATGGTGGGAAGGCAAATGGAATGTGCCTCTTCGTGCAGCAGGATTTTATCTCAATCCAAAGTTTTTCTATAGCATTAAAGGAAACATTCATGGCGATATTCAGTCTGGGTTGTTTGATTGTATAGAGAGATTAGTTCCCGAAGTAGATGTGCAAGCTCAAATAATCACAGAGAGAAACTCTTACAAAAATGCATCATCAGATTTTGGAAGGAGGGTAGCAGTCAGAACCAGAGAAACAATGCTTCCCGGTAAGGTTCCTTTGGTTGTAAACCTAGTGCTTTTCAAGCATATGCATCTAACTTTGAAATGTGATGTAGATGAATATGTGATTAGTCTAAACTTTGTGCACAATATAGATGAATGGTGGGCAACCTACGGAGGAAGCTGCCCAAATTTGACAAGATTGGCTATCCGCATACTAAACCAGGCCTGCAGTTCAATCAGATATAAACAAGATGACATTCCAATCGAGCGAGTGCATGACACCAAAAATGGCCTGGAAAATCAACGACTCAGTGATCTTGTCTTTTATCAGTACAACTCACGACTTAGAGACATGTAAGTGTTATCTGATCACCTTCAGAAACTACTTTCTAGAGATGGCTAAATGAGACATAGATGAAGGAAAGTCCAGGGTTTTTTTTTTTTGCCTAACAAAATATTGGCAACATTACAGAATGACCAAGAAAGAAGAACAGGATACCCTTGATCCTCTATCATACGAAAACGTTAGGTTTCTGGAGGACTGGGTGAATTCCAAAGACGTATTTATCGACGAGAGTATGAAATCCGATTGGGCAGCCATAGATCCTCCTCATGGTAACAAGTCGATGTTAGGTGGCCATTCTGAAGATTATATAAACGAGTTGGAGACAGGTAATATTCTCATATGATGTCTCAATATTACTGAAGATGTTCTACTCCTAGCGACATCGTTACTGCAAAGGATTTCGTTGTAACTAATCCAATGCTTTCTATCACTCATGCAGTGTTTGATGATGCTGAGATTTTTAGTAGAGCCAAAGAAGGTATGGAGGAAACCATTGAAGAGAATGTAGCAAGGTAGTTAAACTTAGAAACAGCTTGGAATTATTGGATGTCCCCTTGGGGTCTCTTCCACCTTTTTACTAGGATCGAATCACCCAAGGTGGCGAAGTTCGATTTTGTCCTGAGAAGTGTATATGTAGTTAGTTAGCTACGTTGTGAAGATCCCAACCCATCTTGGGAGCAGTAGAAGAAGAGTAGATTCCAGCTTTTGGATATTGAACACAATTATCCATTGGACACAACTTGAGAGAGGAGAAGAAAAGCAAGGGCAGGGGCAGGTTCCCGGCCGTGGCTAACATAGTTGGGTTGGAACTTGGAAGTTTTCTGAACTTCCTGAAAACAGGGGATGCTCTGTTTTTCTCTCTCTCTTTTCCCTCACGGGACTATTTAAAGATTACCATATTTCTGGCTGGCTTAAGCTTAAGGTTCCGAAACAGGGGATGCTCTGCTGATACTTATCATTCCCAAAAAAATTCCTCAATGCCATGGTCGTCTTCACTTTCGTCAACCTTGATAAAACAGCCGACTCTACCTCCATCTCTCGAATTCGAATGCCATCATCAACCAAGTTCGTAATAAATCAATTCATTTACCACAGGGGATGATTCCTGCAGCAAACTCTCGAACGTGGGCCTCGAGCCATGATGACGAAGGACGAGCTCGAGACCATCACTCCTGTCTAGATCATGATGAGCAAGTATATATGGTGATCTTTAAGATTCTTTAGAGGAGGTATATGATGGGCAAAACAATCCATTATTCCCAAGACGAAAGAAAGGGAAACCATTGAAGACAGAGAGACCATCAACAACATTAATATTTGTTTTCTTGAACATCGTCAAATAAAAAAAAACCCTTCCATATTAAGGGATATTACACAACCCTTGATTCTCTGCAAATCCACTCAGCAAACCAGAAGAAAGACCCTAGAAATTCACAAATTTAGAACTGGTAAAGGCAGCTTCCATCATCACTCCTTGCAGTTGGATCAAAGTTACCCGCATTTGGATCAGTACAGCCTTCAGGAACTGGCAGATTGCCCTGTTGAGCTCCTTGCCCTGCCAAAACAAACAAACAAAAACCCCAACACAAAACAACTCCTTAAGTTGAAATTCATGCAAGTAACTAAGAAACTAACATTGCCGTGCGTTCGAATTTTACGGCCAACAATCACAAACAACAATATACTAATAGGAAACCTAAGAAGAGGGAATGCAAACCTCCCAATTGAAGGCCCCCTCCCTCTACATTTTTCAGGATGTCGAAGAATCTAACCGTAGAAAGTTCCACTCTCCATGGCATCCTTGTTAGCATCACCAAGAGCAGCCTCGTTCAAGTACTGGTCAGCCAACTGCACCCTCTTCACATTCTCTTGCTCTGCCACAAGCATGTTCCCATACTCCATCAGCTTCTGCAATGTCATCTTAGGTTGCTCGAACGTCGGGGGAGGGTCCTTGGAGTTCACCAGCTTCTTCCCGATCGTCTCCACTCCGACACTGGAGATCCACTTCCTCACCTCGTCGTCGTAAACCCTAGCCCTCAGCGCCCCGAAGAAATCTACCCACCCCAATGTCAGATACCAGTCAGAAAACTTGCGTCTCAAGTAAAGTCTAAACCAATATGGTGAAGTCAAATAATGTACCGATTGATTGTCCGGGGAAGGAGTCGACGAGCTTGACGATGTCGTCATTGGGGACATTGTCCGTCCTGAAGATACCGGTGCATACTCCGATTCGGTCCTCCCTGGTCGGAGCCCAGTAGAACTTCTCCATACGCCCGTCACGGATAAGAGGGGCGTAGAGGGTGGAGAAATCGTTTCCGGTGACGATGATCGGAACTCGGGCGTTCTCTTCCTTGTTGTACATTCCGGGGAGCTGGACGTTGGTGGGCGCGTCGGCGATGTTCATGAGGGTGGCGTTCACCATCTGGTTGTTGACGGTGTACTGCGTCGTCCCGCCCATACGACCGGCGCCGGCGTCGAGATCGTTGATGAAGAGGCAGCACATTTTTCCCTTCTTGATGATGTCAGCAGCCTCACGATACCTCTGCCTGATCAGCTTCGCCGGCTCTCCGGCGTTGCCGCTTTCCAACTCTCCGGCGCTCATCATGATTGGGCTGAAAAGTCAACATTAGTTTACATCAACGAGGAACTTAGAGACGTTTCACTATGCTGCAAATGGTGTGGGAAATCAGGCAGCTCACTTGATTCCCATCTTGGCGAAGACGAGCTCCGCTTGGAAGGATTTTCCTTGACCTTTGCCTCCCCAGACACCCAAGATCAGTGGAACCTGCAACCGAAGACAAAAATCACGGCTTAATTCCTGATCGAATGAGTACTCGAAGACAATAAGAGTATCGATCAAAGGGTTTTGGAATGTAGTAATTAATGATCGATTTACCTTAATGTTAGGAAGGTTCAAGAAGTTCTTGGTGATGTGAACGACGATTTTGTCCATGAAAGCAGGAGCAATGTAGAAACCACCCATGGTGTTGTCAAAATCGTATCTGCCCACACATAACACAACCAACTATCGGTTGCAATGGCCAAATTGTGAATCCGAACGATCACGGTTAAACTAACTTCTCAGCTCGTGTTGGATCTATCAATCGGTTCAGTAGTCACACCATCATCAAGTGTGTCAACTGTCAAGAACCTATCAGTTCGTTTGTCAAGAATCAATTGGTCCCAATAACTCGAGCAGTTGGAAGAGATTCAATCATAGATTCTTATATCATAACTAACAATGGCTTCATCGATGAACGATGATATCCCCAATCTCAGAGTCCTTTTTTCGCGCAATAGACCTAAACCGACGCTACCAAGACCCATTTTTTCATACGGAAGGCATACTGATACCAAATTTGACAACATTTTTACAAAATTCGAACCTTAAACCTACAGGTTTAGACAATTAGCATAAACACCAACTCTACCTAGATTAGCCATGAACAAAACGGAAAACAGAGCAAAAAAAGACAGAGCAAGTGAAAGTACGAAGATTTACGTACGTTCGGAGGCCTTTGCTGATGTAGTCGTAGGAGCTCATGACGGCGTAGTGAGTTCCGGCCATCTGCGGCGCCTGGAACAAACTGTCGACCATACCTTTCCCTCTGGTGATGTCCTGCTGGTCGTCGGACATGTCGGTCACCAGGTGTCCCCATCGGTCCCCTTCCGTCTGCTTCTCCTCGTCCACGTCTTCAGGGGCGGCCTCCGCGACAACCTTGAACCCGGACTTGGGGAACAACTTCACTCCTCCCCCCAATTTCTTCAAGCTCGTCCCGAAGAACGCCGAGGTCGGCACCGATGGACCGGCTCCCGACCCGTTCAGAGCCAACTGCAAGCAAATCAAATCAACCACCACCCACTTCGTCAATTAGACGAATGCTACTACTTGCTTTGCAAATTCCAACCCGTATTAAAGATGTAAAGCAAATGGGTAGGGAAGGGGATGTGAGAAGCGGGGTTTACCGGAACCCGGTTGACCGCGGCGATGGTGGAGATGGCGGCGGCGGCAGCCATGAGTTGGAATTGCGCGAATTAGTTGGAGAGTGAGGTGAAGAACAACAAGTGATGAGGGTGGAGAAAGTATGGAGCTTTATAGTGGCAGTATGGGTGATCGGGAAATTGGTTGATTTTCTGAGGATTGGCTTGAATTCGTAACGTCCACACAATCAAGATTGGTTAGCTGCCACATGGCGCACCACGACAACGATCAGCTTCGGGAAGCGTCTCTCTTTTGCATTGTTTCTGAGGGGATGTGGATTTTGTGTGCTTTCGTTGCCACAATTAATGAATTCTTTTTGTTTTTGAAAATATATTTGCCACACAATGGATAATTGGTGGTCGTTATTTTTGGTTTGGTTTTGGCGCGGAATAAGAATGTAACGATCAGCGAAGCTGTGTTGGTAGGGCTTGGGCCATTTTTGGATCCATGCGGAGAAAGCGAGCTTCAGGAAGTGATTGCAGGCCAGGTGAACTGTGTTGGTAGGGCTTGGGCCATTCTGTATCCATGCGGAGAAAGCGAGCTTCATGAAGTGGTTGCAGGCCCAAGCCCAACATTATCGAAAATGGTCAAGCTTTCTTCATCTTCTTGATTGGTGAACTGAACAACAACTTTAATTTTCCGCAATTGGTGGAAAACTGGAAATAGAACCGGCAAAGGTCTCAACTTCAAGACCGAGTCCTTTTCAGCTCAATACTTGCATTAACCATTATATGTTCGTTTAAGAATACGTTACCCTCAAAACTCCCTTGAATTGATGATAGAAAACAGATGAATTGGATTCCGGGTTACTGTGATCGGGTTGGACAGAAGAGAATTGAAAGATTTAGAGATTTGAAAAATAGAATTATGGGTTGAAATATATGAGAATTGGGGAAGAACAAGAATGCGGAATTAAGAATTTATAGATTATTTGGTACCAAATGAATCGAGAACTATAGTAAAATGAATTACCGTGTAGAATTTATTGTCAAATGAAACCTTGTGTTTGGTATGTCATATTCAAATATTTAGAAATAAAATGAATTGCCGTGTAAAATTCATTGTTAAATGAATTCATGTGTTTGGTAGCTACTTCGGTGCACTCTAAAAGTGCCTATAATACATCAAATTTTAATTTTTTGTTGGTGGCATTAGTCTAATATGATTATATAATATAAAATCTCAACTAGGTGGCTACTTCGGTGCACTCACTTTTTTGGGTGCGTTCAACGCACCCAACTCTAAAAGTGGCTATAATACATCAAAATTTAATTTTTTGTTGGTAGCGTTAGTCTAATATGATGATATGATATAAAATCTCAACTAGGTGGCTACTTCGGTGCACTCACTTTTTTGGGTGCGCTCAATGCACCCAACTCTAAAAGTGGCTATAATACATCAAATTTTCATTTTTTGTTGGTAGCATTAGTCTAATATGATGATATGATATAAAATCTCAACTAATCAATCCATTACCCTTAGGGGGTGTACATGGGTCGGGTGGTTCGGGTTTAACCATTTTAATCACCCGACCCATGCACTACGGTTTGTAAATTATCAAACCCAAACCCACCCAAAAAAAATTAAAACCCTACGGTTTGTTTCTAATTGGGTTGGGTCGGGTTGGCGATATTTTTAAGTAAAAACCCAACCCAACATAAAAATAAATAATTATTATACATCATAAAAATATTTTATAACTAATTAAAATTTCAAACGAATAAACCGAGGTGAAAGCTATCAAAATTCAAAAATGTTGTTTGAATTTTAATAAAATGTGATTTACTTCAACATATGTCTAGTTTTTTCACGATATTTGTTGAAATAGGCTAAAAAAGTTATAAACAAACGCATCCATAATATGTTATTCTATTAAAATTGTACACAAGAAAAAGGATTACGTGAATAATAACTATACTCAATTTATGTCTAAACTTTAAGTCGAAGAATGCATTAGATTAGTGAGACCATGATAGAAAAACATGGCGAAATATCTTAATTTTCTCATAAGTACTGCTATATACGACATAAATATTTTTTAGATACGAACTCATACTAATAGTTAGAACACGGGTTGGGTCGGGTTCTACGGGTTGTGTAATCCAAAATCCAAACCCAACCCAAAAGAGGCGAGTTGTACAAAAGAAAACCTTCACCCAACCCAAAACCTTCGTTTTAGCGATAAATACGGGTGGGTTGGGTCGGGTTGGACGGGTGGGTCGGTTTGCGGGTGTGTTTGTTCACCCTAGATTACCCTAACCCTTAACCTTCAATTTTGAATCTCAAACCAAAATCCCAAATTGTAAACCTAAACCCTGACCCTAAATCACTAAATCCTAAATTCTTCAAATTAAAGTAAATCTGGAATGAGTTTTTTTGCAAATTCATGTGTTTCTTGTTCATAATATCATAAGCTACAACTAATACCGTTTTGACTTGAATTCCATGCTTGGAATGACGATTATGAGGCGAGTGCATTGAGTGCACCAAAAAAAGTGGGTGCACCGAATATGCCACCATATATATATATATATATATAAGTAATGCAGTTAATAAAAGAGGATAATTATATCATTCTTTTATAATTTGTAAATACTTGTGAAATAAGAATTTATTTAGAAATTCCATCTCAATTCCTCAGTATTGCAATAACTAGTTCCAATTCCATAAAATTCAAAATTTAGAATCGAAAATGAATTCTTTTAAATAACAAACACAAACATGTTTCATTTTAAAATAAATTCTTCAAAACTTATGAAATTCATTTATACCAAATGATATGTTAGAGAAGGAAATTGGGCAGAATGAGGAAAAATGGCTGGCAGCTTGAGAGATAGAAGGAAAGGGATTTGAAGAAAAAGAGAAAGAGAAATTACTATTTGAGATAATTATTTCCATTATTCAATTTAATGATCGTATAATGTAAACATTCATATGTGGAAAATACAAAGAATAACCTGATAAAACTAATACTACTCGACTATTGTTGATGTTGAGTGTTGCCAATAAATATTCTAATAATAAATATAATAGAAACACAGGTTAATAGTCATTCCACGGTTCAATTTCACCCCAACCTTTTTTGCCATTTAAAAACCTAAGCTAGCTCAACCTCTCAGATTTATTGAGCTTATGTCGAGACAGATCCACCTTACCATCACACCTTAGCTCGTTCTTGTTCAATGGTTGTGACAAAAAACTTCCAAATGTTAGCCGAAAAAGCGGAAAAAATCCCAAATTACCATGGTTTAAAAAAAATTACAAAAATATCACCCATTCCCAACAATTTCCAAAAATACCATCGTTTATTTAAAACCGCGCCTCTAATGGGCGGTTAATATAGAAACCGCGCCTCCTGGCAGCGGTTTACAATATAACCGCCTCGCCAAGAGGCGTTTTTAAATTCCAGCTAAAACCGCTCTTGGAAGGCGCGGTTATATACTAACCCTACCACGAAACGCTTCAAGAGGAAGCGTTTAAATGTCGGCATGATAAACCGGCCCACCAGGCGGCGGTTTACCATGTCCAGACATAAACCGCTGCCCCAAGGCGCGGTTTGTGCCTGGTCACCCGACAGCAGACATGTCGGCATGCAGGGGGTGGGGCTGCATGGCAGACTTAACCCCCCCCCCCCCCCCCCCCCCCCCCCCCCCCCCCCCCGCGGCTTGTGCTGCAAAATTCGTCTATAAAAGGGTGTTTCAGGGAACTCAAATTCTTCACACTCCTCTTCCTTCTTCAAATTTCAGTTTTGCACCTTTAAATTATTTAGTTTTTGCGATTAACGTTAATTCGTAAGTTTGTTTTGTATTACTTTTCATTGTCCTTTGTGATTTTATGTTAGTAACTTAATTACTTTTCATTGTCATGTCCCTCTTGTATTACTTTTCATTGTCCTTTGTGATTTTATGTTAGTAACTTAATTACAGTTTTATTGCAGATGGCATTCCAAAGGTTCACGCTTGGGTTGCGGAGGAATGGTTACACGGAAGAGACCAAAAAGGGTGTAAGTTACGTCGGTGGCAATTTTTATAAAATGAATGTCCGTACGAGACCGATGCTTGAAGAGCTCCTTCAAATGTGCACTCAGATTACCTGCATGGATGGCACTAGAAGAGTTGATCAAATGGTGTATCGATATCCAAACAGACATGACGGGTCGCTGTGGAATGAGGAATTCCTCCTTACCACTCAGGAGGACGTTGATGCCATGGTCCAATTTTTGACCACCAATAAAATTAAGCAAGCGGAGATGTTCGTTTACACCGAGGCCGTCGAAGGCAGAGTAGGTCATTCTGGAGATGGCCAAACATCTGGTATCCACGGTGGGAGTGTATTATACGAAGATCATCCCCACCAGGATTTCCAAGACTCGAGCTGGAGGCAGGAGTATCATCATGGAACTGGAGGTCATCATCAATCCTTCCCTTCATATGAAGAAGAAGCTCAACAGGCGGATCACAACCAACAAGCAGGCTACCAGTACCCATCCGAGTACAACTTCTATCAAAGCGGTGTTAGTTACCACAACTACCATTACGGAGCTGGTGAAGGTGAAGGTGCCTTTCATGATGATAATCATATGGAAGAAGAGGTCAATCCAAGTCCACTTAGTGACCCTGAGGTTGAAGAAGAGGAAGGCGAAGTTAATGCAGACAGCTTTGATCCGCTGGAAGGTGCTGATGATTCCGGTCCAGATTCAGACGCAGACGGTGATGAGGTACCTCGCGACCGTGTACCTATTCCATACTACAATCACATTCAAAATGAAGATTGGTATGTTGATGCTGACATGGACCCGCCAGAGGTGCCACTATGGGGTCAACTCATTGGCTTTACGAAGGGCCAACAATTTGCAACGAAGAATGAGGTCCGACACGCTATTGCAACTGAAGCAATGACTCAGAGTTTTGAATGTCAAACAACCCATTCAAACATCTACTTGAGGAGCAGCCCGACCTGAAGGTGAAAACCATCATCGCCCACATTTCTAGTCGTTATGGTTATATCATTAACTACAAGAAAGCGTGGCATGGGAAACAAAAAAGCAATGGCTGCCGTGTTTGGTGACTGGGAAGAATCATATGCATTCCTTCCCAAATTGATTTTGGCGTTGGAGGTGTCTAACCCTGGCACCATTTTCTCGCCTCACTACCAAGATGAAGAAATTCAACCGCCAGTGCCTGGTAACAAGCGCCAATTCAAGCGTCTTTTATGGGCATTCAAGCCATGTATTGATGGTTTTCCATACTGTGTTCCTGTGATTCAAGTTGATGGAACATTCCTTACCGGCAAGTACAAGGGTACTCTACTGATCGCCAGCGGAGCAGATGCAAATAGATTAGTATATCCATTAGCCTTTGCCATTGTGGAGGGAGAGAATACCGATAGCTATGGATGGTTCTTCAGACAAATTCAGCTCCATGTCACCAAGCGGACGAACCTAACTATCATCTCAGATCGCCACGCCGGTATACAAGCTGCTATCTTAGGCTTGGATCCAGCCTGGAACTGGTCACAGAGATGGTGCATACGGCTTCAAGAGCAACTGGAACCATCATTTCAAGCGAAAGAAGCTTGTTGATAGTCTATGGTGGATCGGTAAGCGTTCTAATTAATTGTTATATAAATTTTGTCAACTGTATAAAACGAGGACTAAATCAATATAATACAACACTTATTTAGACTCTTTATAAAGAAATGAATGTCTAAGGAAATGGGGACTTAAGCGATCATCGTGATCCCCCCATGACATGGGAAAATCGGGTTCTAAGCGATCCTCGGATCCCCCCTTTTTTTGTCAATAAGAATGTGTTTCTAAGGAGATGTATACCTCTCATTAGAGTCTTACGACTGTACTTGTATTGAGGGTAAGGTCGATCTTGCTTACCATACGTT